GTATATACCTATCTAAATGCGCGTGAAAAAAGTTTAATTTTCAAGTAGCTTTTTTTTTCTTGAACTGAATTTGAAGTTAGCTAGGCCTTTTAGTTAATTTTTTTTATACTTTAGCTAGGTAGCTTGGCCAGATGTAATTAGATATATGTAGATGTATGTATATAAGTCTAGTTGAGTATATACCTATAAACTATTTATAGATGTAGGTATATAAGCCTCGTGTGCTATGTATATTCTACCGATGTAGATTAAGTAGGTGCTGATATTTACGGAATAGGAGGATGGTAGGTATATACATAGTACCAAAATATTCTATATTAATTTGCATGATTACAACGTGCAAATTTCATGTTAATACACTGTCAAGAACATCAGTTGAAAAAAACTTGTGTTAATACACTAGCTCTTAGCGCGTGCATCCAACTGGTGTTTCTTCTGCCCACGACCATCTTCTTCTCCGCATGATCCCAGGGCAACATATATACGTACGTAGTCTTTGGCTCACTAGGAAGACGAACCAAAAACATATTAGTAGCATGCATTCCCATCTTAAGGTCTTGACAACGAAATGAAATTGTTACAGTACTCAATCTGCGAAAACGGTAGAACAGGGACTTGTCAAAATATAAGAATAAATTGAAATAAATTACACACGAACCACACGCGCGGTGATCATCGGAGACAGTAGCGACGAACCTCCTCACGGGCGACCTGCGGCGGCGACAACGAACCTTGCGAACGACCGGTGGCGCGTAACGGCGTGGTGACGAAGCTAACGGATGACTGACAACGGCAACGAAACCTTGCAGACAACCGGCAGCGACGAAAAGCTCGCCGACGTCCGGCCGGCAGGGTAATAGCGTGGATTGGATAGTGGAGTGTGTAAAAAATGAAATGTCATACCATTTTATATGTACACAAAAAGTGGAAAATATTAATCGGTATTGATGGAAATAAATCAATTACAACTTAATTAGTGGAATTACTCAAAATTTGTGGATCTGATTCATTGCCATCTCAAATATAGAAATAAATTATCACACAATCATAGGAAAACGATGTGAGCATGTGCAAAATTAAAAAAAAAGGAAAGTATGTATCATATATGGAAATAAATTATCATGCAATCGGAAGAAAATTATTACGTACATGTTTGCTTATATGGGAACGATGTGAGTACGTTTATATGGAAAGGCAATGACCCCTGCAATACATGCATGAATGCAAATCATGCGGGTACACTAAAAATGGAAAGATCTAATCGGGTTTAACCCGTTAATATATCTAATACTCCGGTTTGAGCAGCTCAAATCTCAAAGCACATATATGGTAGATATTGTTGGAGCCCATACTCCATGTAGCACCAGTTAATTTACCTATATATATATATATATATATATATATATATATATATATATATATATAAACTATTCTACACCCAAGGTATAGAATATTCTATACCCCCCTCCCTCCCATGGGCCAAACCCACCTCCCACCTTAGTCAAAAGTCAGTCAAAGCATCCCCACGTCGGTCAAAGCCCGGTCAAACCGCCTACCAACTCCCCCACCACCCACCTCTTCTCAGCTCTCGTCTTGCGGAACAGTGCAGTAACGCTGTGTCTTACGTGCAGTAACAACATACAAATTTAGTTGAAATATAGTCGTGATGGAACTACTTTTGATAAGCACTTTTTTTTCTAACATCATGATGCAAACGGTTTAAAAGAATCATACAACACATGAGAGATATTGTTATTCGAAGCTTAGGTGTTTTTGGATCTTGACTCTCCACAAGTAGTAATACTATAGCATTACTACTCGTTACTACTATGTATTGTGTGTTACTACAATCCCATCGCGGCGACGTTAATGTAAGTGTGCAGTAAAGACCATAAGTTTTGTAGTAACAATGCGTCTTACTGCAATTCTTTAATACTGTTACCGCATAAACATGTGGTAACGTGTACCTACCATGTAGTAACACTTTCACTTTGTGCGGTAATAAGTATATTTAGTATGTGAGACTTTTAACCCATATTTTTTTTGATTTCTGGTTTACTACAATTTCACGACGATGTTACTGCCAAATATGCAGTAACGTTCTGTATGTTCTACAGTAACAAAGTGTTTTATTGTAGTTCTTAGATAGTGTTACTGCATAAACATCCAGTAATGTGTAACTGTCAGGTGGTAACGTGTATATGTCACACAGTAACACTTTTACTTTTGTGCAGTAACAAGTATATAGTTAGCATATGAGACTTTGAACCCATATATTTTTTTGTTTCAATTACTAATTTACTGTCAAAAGTGCAGTAACGTCATATACATGTATGCAGTAACACTATATTAGAGAGAGGAGACCGGTTTTCTTAAGAAGAGGGACGGAGAATGGTTTCTTGAGGAGGGGAGTATGTAGATGTATTTTGATGTTCTATCCTCCACATGCAGTAACACTATAGCATCATTGTGAAAACGGTTTAAAAAATAATATATATCTTGTGAGATATTGCTTTTCAAATATTGGCATTTTGAACTTTAACACTCCATATGCAGCAACAGAATATGTAATTTGCAGTAACATGGGTATATACATGCAGTAACATGGTTTTATCAAATGTATAAAATTATTCAAAACACTCCTACATCAATCAGACATCGCTCAAAGCCAGCTACAGACTTTACCTATGGCCCACCTATTCGATCTTCATCTCGTAAAAATAACATAGTAAAACTACGATTATCATGTAGTAACATAGCTACTTGGAAGTGGTAACATACACACTTCTAGTCTTGTGCAGTAACAAGTATATGGTTAGCATGTGAGGCTTTAACCCATATATCTTTGTTTTGATTCCTGGTCCACTACAATTTTACTACGACGTTACTGCCAGAAGTGCAGTAATGTACTATGTGTTATACAGTGACGTCACGTGTTACTGTACTTTTACAACAATGTTACTACTGGAGCATAGTAACATGTTATGAGTTTCGGTAGTGAAAGATATTAGAATTGATAATCATATTACTTTCTCACAAAATTCTTCAAACATATAGCATCATTAGATGAATTGGTTAGAGGAATGTGCTTTGAACTATGAGGTCATGGGTTCAAGTCTTGAATTTGTCAATTTATTTTTTATTTTCCCAGAAAAGAGAAAAAATGTTTCAGGGAGAAAAAAGAGAGAGATCGGGAGGAGGGGGGGATCGCGAGGCGGGAGGGGGAGAGGAATCGAGAGGGGGGGGGGATCGCGAGGAGGGGGGAGGGGCGGTGCCGAATGGGGAGGGGGTGTACAATAGTTATTCTATACCCCGGTTGTAGAATAGTCTTACCCTATATATATACACATGTATATATATATATATATATATATGTATACATGTACACATGTACTAATCTTGCTGAGCATGTATAACATACTCATATATATTATTATTACTATTTGATGTGCGCAGAAAGTAGTCAAGATGAGATGTCAGAGGGAAATTGTGACACGCAGACCTAGTGGAGAGTGTGGTCTACTTAGTCTTTAGAGGCATCCCTGAGGACATACTTGCATGCTAGGTATAGGGTATCGTCCTAGTGACAATAAGTTGGTCAGTGAACCAACCGATGTATATGCAATGTAGCTGGTGAAAAATAATAATAATAAATGGAACCACTGTTGTAGGTGTCCAAGCTCTAGTTGTGATTGTTAGACATTGCATCTTGCCTTGTATCCTTATGGACCTATATAAATATTAGTATATATGCGTATACATATAAGGATACGACAAACTGTCATGGAAAAAAATTTGGGTCGTGACAAAAAGTCAAATGATTTATGATATGAAACAGATGGATATTAAATAATTAACGTCTCAACTCCATTGACAGATGGTGTGGGTCGGTTTAGCATGAAAACAACTAGCTAAATGGAAAGCTAGCTAGATTTTGTGATAGCATACCTATGTAGAATTAATACACTGCTAGAAAATAGGCGATAGGTGCCGGTTTTCTCAACCGGTAGATAGTGGCACCTTTGAGATCCCCCGGATGAAAAAAAAAAGGTCTGCATCGAGTTCCAGTCCCCCCGCTCCCCCCCAACAAAAAAAAAATCAATCACAGCAACAACATCATTGTCACATAAACACAACAATACAAACAACACAAACAACAACACCCGTGGATCCGCCCGCCGCCGCCAGATCCGTAGGAGAAGCTTGGGGCGAAGGGCCGGGAGGGGGTACAAGACCGTTAGATTCACCTGCCGGAAACGCCACCGCCGCCACCTCTGCCGGATCTGCCCGCATGAGCGCCAATTTAATGCCACCGTCATTGTCGCGGGAGAACCTTGGACGCGGAGGGTGAGTGGGAGGGGGTAGAGGACGACCAGATCCGCCCGCTGGAAATGCCTCCGCCGCTGCCATCACTGTATCCACCCACCGGATCCGCCCACAGAGCCACCAACGCCTATTATAAATTTAAGGTACCCTTTTTTAAAAAATAAACGGAACCAACGCCTATTATATATTCAAGGTACCTTTTATAAAAAAATAAACGACATCTATACATAGTCACTTGAAGGTGCCGGTTTTGTATTTTCATCTTGTGGAGGTTGGAAAAACAATATAGGTGCCGATTTTAGCTGTTCCAGCATCTGTAGTGTCAACATGTACGTGCCTTTTTTAGTAGTGATAACTACTCATTTGTATATGTAATACATGTATATGTAGTATTAGTAATTAAGATCATATCACATATATAGTACCCTTCGAATTTTAATATATAACGTCGTTGACTTTTAAATCAATATTTGACTATTCTCTTATGTAAAAAATTTATGTAATTAGTATTATTTATTTTATTGTGACTTGATTTATCACCAAATGTTCTTGCAGCATAACATAAATATTTTATATTTGTACAAAAATTATAAATAAGACAAATGGTCAAACGTTGATAAAAAAAGTCAACGGCGTTATACATTAAAATATGGAGGGAGTATATAACAACAAACTTAGATTGGGCTAATGTAGACTCCGATGGCATCGATGAGCCATCCGGCTCGTCCCCAGAATCCGACCACGACGCCGCCATTGTCAACCGGGATCGAGAAGGGAGTGCCAGCTTGCTTGTCGCTGGCGCCGCCGTATGGTCCGTATGTCTTGCCGGCGTTGGTCCGGAATGTTAGGGAGGTAATCACAGGCTCATCCACGTCCCTGAAACGCCCGATGGTGCCCTCCACCGAAGTCACCTGTTCATCCGCCGACAACTTGATCTGCAATTCGTTGATTACAATTAAGTTGATAATTTTTCATATTCATCTAGTGCAATGACTTAAAATGATGAAGAATAATCTGGCATGAAAATGCCAACTAATGGGATGCTTATTAACTTGGCAGTTGATTTCAAGAGGTTAGTCGAAAACTAGCCGCGTATATATATCCACCAATATAATGGATATATATAGATAAAAAAGAAGTAAAATATCACAGAGAAGCTACTCACACCGTTTTCTATGTTAGATCAAATATATAGAAAAATTTAGCAACATCTCTATAACACAAAATTGATTTATTAAAACCAATATTGAAAATACTTTGATATATGTTTGTTTTACATATATACTAAAAGTATGGCTATGTTTTTCCACATGGTCGGTCAACCCTTAAAAAATAGTTTGAAAACAAAAGTCAAAACATATTACTATTAATAAAATATAATAATAAGGGAGTAGTTAATTAATTAGTACCGTGTCATGGACTGCTATGGAATCATAGGAATATCGTTGCCCCCATGGACCGTCCTTGACGAGCTTGAGTTCATCACCACCACCTCCTCGCCGTTGTGATTTCATGTAGTAGTCGTAGTACAAGGAGTGGATGGCGCCATCGGAGTGGTACAAGGTGATGCTGTTCAGCCGGCGAGGGACGGTCGCCGACGGACGAATGTCGAACGGCCGCCCACCGGATCCACCCCAAAGCCCAACCTTCGCCGCCGATCTCCTCTCCATCATCGTCAACGAAGGTCTCCACCGGAGACCTTCGTTGACGATGATGGAGAGGAGCTAGGGTTCGTCGTCGTTGGCCTCGTGCTGACGGCACGAGGGACGACAGCTGCTGCTGCTGCTTGTCGTCCATGGTGATCTTCAGCATTGTTGCCGTTGTTGATGCTGCTGAGAAGGCGGGGACGGTCGACGGCGGCATTGGAGGCACGCGGTGGCTTCTTCTCCAGTCCACAGCCGAGGATGATGCCGGAGATGAAGGCGAAGTTGTATAAGCAGATGGTGATGGCGACGATCATCACCACTTCGGCACCGGAGAAGTTTCCCATGGCGTTGGCGAATTCTTATTCTTTATCTTGACTAATTGGATTATTTCAGGATCCAAACAAATTAAAACGATGCGGCTCTTGTCGATCTGCCACCATATATAGGGGTACACAAGTTATTCATGCGGAGTCCAGATTGGTACCGTTTAAATAGATTTGTGGCCGCGGTGGACACGATAGATCGACGTCGTTGCGATACCTGTTGCAATTAGTCGTGTTGTTTGCATGGTTAATTAGGTTTTATGCCGGCATACACGACTACACGTAACGTATTACAAGTTTCTTTTTTTTTTAAGAACTAGAAAAAATGCCCGTACATTGCAACGGGTGAAGTACGCACACTCTCAAGTTAGGGCGAGTTTTTTAAACAGATTTCTTATATGATTTCTTCTGTATTACCAAAAGTGAACGATCTTAAAAACCGACTCAAATACGGATATGTATTTCCAAAAGCAAACGAACTTCAAAACCGACTCATGCACGAGTGACGTACCAAAATACCGGCAAAAATATCTTTAATTTTTATAATAGTAGAGATTACACAATACAACGCACGCACACTCACTCCTATGAAGGCACGCACTCAAACCATACCCCTATAAGTATCATCGAAGACTGGTTTGGCAAATCATTGAGATTGACGAAGTCACCACATGTTTTACATGTTTTTATGTCCGTAGTTCATCTGATAAAATGATAAAATGTAAAAGAGATATGGGAATAATATAGACTAACTCTTGGTTGATTGCTTCGATGGAATGGCTTTCACTGGTGTTGCATGAGACTAATCCATGCGTGCGCATAGATTTGATTTTACGCATTGGTGTCGGTTCCAAATCTCTCATATGTGTATGTTTTGAAATTTACACCACTAAAGAGGCATAGCCATATAGCCATCGGCGCACTGGTGTTCTTGATTTTCAGTTTTCTAGGTAAAACCCCAAAAAAATATTATGTATTTTACCTAGTCTATATACATGGCTGTACAACAAAAGTCCACGAAATACACGAGCGCGCAATACTTTGAATTTCAGCACAACATCTCTTTGCAATCTCACCAATCAAGCACTTTTTTAATGTTCGTGCGTTGCAACGGATAAATATGTTTTTTCAGAGATACAACAACTATTAAAAGCTAAGCAATAAATTAAAATATTAGAATCGCTATACATTATAATTAAAAAAATTAATGATATTTTTCCTTTGTTTTGGGCCAAAAGCCCAATAAATCTTTTCTTTTTCAGTCCCAGCCCAGTCCGCTGCCTTCCTCCGCTCGGCCTGCCTCTCTTCGGCCCAGTCCATAAGTGGAGCTGCATGCCCAGCTTGCACAGTGACGTCTTCATCCTTCGAACGGTAGTCTCGCGCCTGTACAATGCCGGAGTTGATACTCCCCATCAAATTCGACCGAGTCTTTCTCAATCTCCCAAAATTGATTGAGGGCTCTTAATCCACTTGATCTCCTTTTTCCGTATTTTCCAAAATCGGATCTAATCAAACTCGCCGACCAGCCATCGTCAACAACTTTTAAATAGAGATTAAATCAATCACAACAACAACATCATCGTCACAAAAAAAAATCTCTCCTCTCAAGCACTTCATTCTTTACTTAAAAAAAATGTATGTACGTTGCAACGGATAAATACGTTTTTTTTCAGAGATACAACAACTATTAAAAGCTAAACAATAAATTAAAATATTAGAATAGCTATACGTTATAATTAAAAAAAATAATGATATTTTTTCCTTTGTTTTGGGCCAAAAGCCCATTAACTATTTTTTTCAGTCCCAGCCCAGTCTGCTGCCTTCCTCAGCTCGGCCTGCCTCTCTTCAGCCTAGTCCACAAGTGGAGCTGCATACCCAGTTTTTATAGTGACGTCTTCATCCTTCGAATGGTAGTCTCGTGACTGTACAATGCCAGAGCTGATACTCCCCAACAAATTCGACCGAATTTTTTTGGATCTCCCAAAATTAGTTGAGAGCTCTTAATCCACTCGATTTCCTTTTTCCGTTTTATCCAAAATCAGGTCTAATCAAACTCGCCGACAAGCCATCATCAACAACTTTTAAATAGAGATTAAATTCAACGAATTAACGAATTAAAGTTGAATGGTAAGAGTAAATCATACGGAAAATGATGATGGAGGAATGAGAAATCTATTTTTGCAATTTATTGGAGGAAACGTACAGGGCCATAGATCGACGTGGCCGCAGACCTTGGTTGGGCGCTGGGCGCTGGGCGCGTGGGGATCGGAAGGCCAATTACCACGTGCATGCGGATGGAACTAGAGATAAAAAAATAGAAAACAGGAGTAATAATTCCATTCAATGAATTAAAGTTGAATTGAAAGAAGAAGTCATGGGGAAAGTGAAGATGAAGGAATGGAGAATAGATCTTTGCAATTAATTAGTGGGGAAAACATACGGGGAGGTAGATCCCCATGGTGGCAGCGCTAGGTTAATTCGCAGAGGCGGGGCACTGGGCGTGTGGGGATAGGACGCGAAAAAAAGAGCACACTTCCAATTACCATATGCGGATCGGACCAAAGAAAAAACACAAAAAAAAACCGGCAGACCAAAACTAAAACAGGAAGCTAGCCTTACTTATGTTTTAATTGCTAGCGAAATGCCCATAAGTTGCACTAGGTGAAGCCAAAAAAAGTATTAATTACTGTATGGAGCATAAAGCTAGCAGGTTAATTGAGGTCTTTATAGTCAAATAGAATCTTTATAGTGCAAATAAGACGCTAACATTATATAATTATTTACTGCTATAAATCCACTGACATGGATACTAAAGTTTGAAACCACAAAAAATATTTAATTTTTTGTCATGTATTACTATGAGTCAGTTGCAATACATGGTTATTTTTTGTACTCCATATTTTGATAAACACTTATTTTTCATATTGTAAAGAGTAGCCATGGTACAAGAAATATTTTTCGCTAGCTATCAAATCAACCTCATTGTACTCTAATTGCATAATCGCTCACTCAAAAAATCAGAAGGAAATGGTACAATGAATGGAAAGAAAAAAAAGGTGGTGTATCGCAGAATAACTTTCACTCTAAATAATAGAAGAAATCATACAATGAATGGAAAAAAAGTGATGTGATTAGGTGTTCTAAGGCGAATGAGAAATTGACAAGGGAAAAAAATGGGATTTTTTTTAGATAATGGAATATAACATCCCGACATTTGCTAAAAAGAGCTATAGCCTATTATTACAAAGTAGCACTCCTGAAAAGAGTTCAAATTAAATAGAACTCAGCAAACACACAAAAAAGTGAACCAAGCAAAAATAAGGAGAATACATTTATTCTAGCCTATTTGTGAATATGCATCTATAGTTGGCAAAAATTTGCACAACAACCATCTCCATCTTGCGTCGTGCAACTTTCAGAAACTCCCGATCATCATCACACCTTTATAACTGTGCCTACAACCGGAGCCAATGTGTTGCCCTGAAAATTACCTGTATATAGGAGATAGATGGTAATTTATCAAAGACCATATCATTTCTACTCGACCATAGAGCCCAATAAATTGCAGAAGCTCCAACAAGTATTATTTTTTCTTTTCCTTGTTAACCCCCAAAAGCCACCCATAAAAAATACGAGATATACTTGTAGGAAGATTAAAACCAAAAGAAAACTGAACTGCTCTCCAAATAAACTTTACATAATGACAATCCAAAAACAGATGTTGAATAGACTCATTTTTCATAAAAAAAACAACATCTCAAGCTGCCATTCTAATTATGTCTCACCAAATTATCTTTAGTTAACACAACCCCTTTAAGCAAGTACCACATAAAGATCTTTATCTTAAGCGGCATCTTAAGCTTCCAAATATACTTATTCCTCTCAACATAACCAATAACCATTATTAATTAAAACTAGATACATTGACCTTACTGAGAACCTACCATTCTGATGATAATTTCATCTAAAACAATCAGAAGAAGGATTCAACTGAATATGCACAATAGAAACGCACAATTCATGGCAATATAAAAAATTGGGATATAAACATGATACATTTTATTGGTGATTACATGTTTTTTTTAAAAAGAAAGACTCATGTGATTGTTTTTTTATTTTTTAAAAATAATTTATTTTGTCGGTAAAAAAATTATTTTTGTTGGTGATTACATGTTGTTAAGTAATAAAATCGCTTTTTTATCCGATTCGTGTGTCCAAACTTTATTCATGCTCGGTTGCTACATTATCGCGCACTACTGTGCCTGGCTGCTGCTCCTCTGCTCTGTGGGTCGCCGGTGGGCTGTGGCTGCTTTTTTCTGGGCCGGCCTGCTGCTGCTTTTGACGGGCTGCGTTTGCACATTACCCACAAATCAAGTCTGCTTTGGATGGGCTGCTCCACAAATAAGGCTTTCTTTTTTTTTTCTTCTCTTTTACTAGAAAAAATGCATATACGTTGCAACGGGTAAAGACATTTTTTTAATGCTATATTAAGAGCTGAGCAATAAATTAAAATATTGATGTTGGCGGTATGCCATGAGGCCCTTCGGCCGGGCCTGCCGAAACCCAAGGACTAGCGATGATTCAAGCCAAAGACATCAGAGCTGATTGGGCGAAGCCCTATGGCAAAGGCTATGGGCGAAGATGCCGCAAGCTGACAAGCCGCGTCGGGTCCATGCGAAGCAAAAGCATCTTGGGCGAACG